CTCTCACTGTTGTGGCCTCTCCCATTTGCGGAGCACAGGCTCCGGACGCGCAGGCTCAGCGGCCATGGCTCACGGGCCCAGCCGCTCCGCGGCACGTGGGACCCCCCCGAAACGGGGCACGAACCCGCGTCTCCCGCATCGGCAGGCGGACTCCCAAGCACTGCGCCACCAGGGAAGCCCAGCCCTGCCATTCTTGAGGGCACAGGGAGCCTGATGGGTCCTCCTTGCTCTGAGCTGAGCTGTTTCTCTCTGTTCTGCATTACAAGGGGACTACTGCATCCCAGCGCAGCAGCCAGTTGTGCTGGGAAAACGAGCTGCTCTCCACAACCAGCTGGTGCTATAGCTGGGGGCGCAGCCCTGCCCGTACCCCGCAGGGCTCTTCTTCCTCCCTGTGATTCTTGTCATGGTGCCACTTGATTGCACTGGTGACATCTGGGTTTGCTTTAGTGTAAGCTGACCCAGGGCTTCCCTGTTCCCTAGTGCTTCTGAGAGCATATGCTTTCATTTCTCTTCTCAAAAGCTCCAATTACAGAAACTTGAATACTTGCCAGTAAATTTAATATATTAAATACACACAATGAAATAGAAAGTATGAACTCTCAAGTGTCGAAATAAATAAGCCCGCTGTAATATATGAAGGTTGGAAAGATACTTAACGCTCACCTACTAAGTCAGCTCTGTTCCTCCCACTCATTCCTCTTAAACAGTAAATTTTCATCAGTAACATGGCTGTCAACACACCATGCATTTGAGCTGTGTGTTACAAGAAGCCTGTCATTTTTTGCTTGAAGATTATAAAATTCAAAATCAGACTTTCATTGGGAAAGGATTATTTCAGTTCTTATACTCTGAATGTAGGAGAGAGGGAAGAATGATGTCCTAAGCTAATGGAAACTAGTAAATTATTTAGCTACCTTCATGTGAAGTTGGTATCTTCAGTCCAAATCAGTGAGGAATGTATGTGAATGAGAAAGGCGATTGTAGACTATTTTATTAAAGAAATGTAGTACTTTTGCTTTTAAGTAGGGTATATAGAGCCAAAGAGACATGGATGCCAGCAAACTAAAGGTAACAATGTAAAAAGACAATATCTATCATAATTTTATATCATTTAAGCTAATTAACTTTTATATCTTGTTAATGTGTAATTAGTAACTGATCAAGCATTCTGACCACTCAGCTTTAATCTTTCCTCCAAGTTAGTGAAATGGATCCTCATTTGGTGGCATTTCCTTGAAATAGGAAGTTCATTCTCTAAGATAGAAGCACTAGACTTCTAATTGACACAGGCTGATTTTTCAGTTACTAACAGCTATTTTGCTCAGAATGTTTTACCAAACTAAATAAAGTTAGATGTCTATAGCAGTCGCTGACTGACTCTAGGAATTTAAAGCCAGCATCTAACTAAATCTTGCATAGAGGGTCATGAGACTTGGACATCTTGGACTGTAATGTTGGGCCACAGAAGGTCAGATGCAGCAGCCCCGTTAAGTGTTAGAAGGACTCAACCATAGAATTCCCCTATAGCCCTTAGAGCCCAAACAGGTAAATTTCACATGAGGAAATAGTGCTTGGAGTTGATTTGCCCAAAGGTCAACCGTTTGGAACTGATTTAGCAAGATCTCTTGACTTCCAGGCAAGGTTTGTTTTTTTTGTTTTTTGTTTTTAATTTTTATTTTATATATATATTTTTTTAACCTCTTTATTGGGGTATAATTGCTTTACAATGGTGTGTTAGTTTCTGCTTTATAACAGAGTGAATCAGTTATACATATACATATGTTCCCATATCTCTTCCCTTGGACTATAGTTGATTTACAGTGTTTTGTTAGTTTCAGGTGTACAGCAAAGTGACTCAGCTATATATACATGTATCTGTCTTTTTCGAATTCTTTTCCCATTTAGGTTAGTACAGAATATTTAATAGCGTTCCCTGTGTAAGTAGGTCCTTGTTGGTTATGTATTTTAAATATAGTAGTGTGTATATGTCAATCCCAAACTCCCAATTTATCCGTCCCCCCACCTTTCCCTTTTGATAACTGTAAGTTTGTTTTCTAAGTCTGTGAGTTTATTTCTATTTTGTAAATAAGTTCATTTGTATCTTTTTTTTTTTAGATTCCACATATAAGTGATATCATATGATATTTGTCTTTCTCTGTCTGACTTACTTCACGTAGTATGATAATCTCCAGGTCCATCCATGTTGCTACAGATGGTATTATTTCATTCTTTTTCACGGTTGAGTAATATTCCATTGTATATATGTACCACATCTTTATCCATTCATCTGTTGATGCACACTTAGGTTGCTTCCATGTTTTGGCTATTGTAAATAGTGCTGCAGTGAACATTAGGGTGCATGTATCTTTTCAAATTATGGTTTTCTCAGATATATGCCCAGGAGTGGGATTGCAGGAGCATATGGTAGCTCTATTTTTAGTTTTTTAAGGAACTTCCATACTGTCCCCATAGTGGTTGTACCAATTTACATTCTCACCAACAGTTTAGGAGGGTTCCCATTTCTCCACAGGCTCTCCAAGCATTTATTGTTTGTAGACTTTTTGGAAATGGCCATTCTGACTGGTGTGAGGTGATACCTCACTGCAGTTTTGATTTGCATTTCTCTAATAATTAGTGATGTTGAGCATGTTTTTATGTGCTTATTGGCCGTCTTTATGTCTTCTTTGGAGAAATGTCTATTTAGATTTGCCCATTTGGGGATTGGGTTGTCTTTTTAATATTGAGCTGCTTGAGCTGTTTGTAAATTTTGGAGATTAATCCCTTGTCAGTCACATTGTTTTTCAAATATTTTCTCTCATTCTGTGAGTTATCTTTTCGTTTTGTTTATGGTTTCCTTGGTTCACGTTTGTTTTTATTTCCATGACTCTAGGAGATGGATCAAAAAAGATGTTGCTGTGATTTATGTCAAAGAGTATTCTGTGTTTTCCTCTAAGAGTTTGATAGTGTCTGGCCTTACATTTAGGTCTCTAATCCATTTTGAGTTTATTTTCGTGTATGGTGTTAGGGAGTGTTCTAATTTCATTCTTTTACATGTAGCCGTCTGGTTTTCCCAGCACCACTTATTGAAGAGACTGTCTTTTCTCCATTGTATATTCTTGCCTCCTTTATCAAAGATAAGGTGACCATATGCGTGTGGGTTTATCTCTGGGTTTTCTGTCCTGTTCCATTGATCTATATTTCTGTTTTTGTGCCAGTACCATATTGTTTTGATGAAAGCTTTGTAGTATAGTCTGAAGTCAGGGAGCCTGATTCCTCCAATTCTGTTTTTCTTTCTCAGGATGGCTTTGGCTATTCAGGGTCTTTTGTGTTTCCATACAAATTTAATTTTTTTTTGTTCTGGTTCTGTGAAAAATGCCATTGGTAATTTGATAGGGATTGCATTGAATCTGTACATCGCTTTGGGTAGTACAGTCATTTGACAGTATGGATTCTTCCAGTCCAAGAACATGGTATATCTTTCCATCTGTTTGTATCATCTTTGATTTCTTTCATCAGCATCTTATAGTTTTCAGAGTACAGGTCTTTTGACTCCTTAGGTAGGTTTATTCCTAGGTATTTTATTCTTTTTGATGTGACGGTAAATGGGATTGTTTCTTTAATTTCTCTTTGTGATCTTTCATTGTTAGTGTATAGAAATGTAACAGATTTCTGTGTATTAATTTTCTATCTTGCAGCTTTATCAAATTCATTGGTGAGCTCTAGTCATTTACTGGTAGCATCTCTAGGATTTTCTATGTATAGTGTCATGTCATCTGCAAACAGTGACACTTTTATTTCTTCTTTTCCCATCTGGATTCCTTGTTTTTCTTCTCTGATTGCTGTGGCTAGGACTTCCAAAACTCTGTTGAATAAAAATGGAGAAAGTGGGCATCGTTGTCTTGTTTCTGATCTTAGAGGAAATGCTTTTAGCTTTTCACCATTGAGAATGATGTCAGGTGTAGGCCTAACAAAGTAGGCATTGCCCTTTATTATGTTGAGGTAGGTTCCCTCTAGGCCCACTTTCTGGAGAGTTTTTATCATAAATGGGTATTGAATTTTGTCAAAAGCTTTTCTGTATCTATTGAGATGAAAATATGATTTTTATTCTTCAATTTGTTAATGTGGTGTATCACACTGACTGATTTGCAGATATTGAAAAATCCTTGCATCCCTGAGATAAATCCTACTTGATCGTGGTGTATGATCCTTTTAATGTATTTTTGGATTCGGTTTGCTAGTATTTTGTTGAGGATTTTGCATCTATGTTCATCAGTGATATTGGCCTGTAATTTTCATTTTTTATGGTACCTTTGTCTGATTTTGGTATCAAGGTAATGGTGGCCTCACAGAGTAAGTTTGGGAGTATTCCTTCCTCTGCAGTTTTGGAGAATAGTTTCAATGGAATAGTTTCAAAAGGATAGCTGTTATTAACTCTTCTCTAAATATTTGATAGAATTTGCCTGTGAAGTCATCTGGTCCTGGGCTTTTGTTCATTGGGAATTTTTTAATCACAGTTTCAATTTCAGTACTTGTGATTGGTCTGTTCATATTTTCTGTTTCTTCCTGGTTCAGTCTTGGGAAATTGTACCTTTCTAAGAATTTGTCCATTTCTTGCAGGTTGTTCATTATATTGGCATATAGTTGCTTGTAGTAGTCTCTTATCGTCCTTTGTATTTCTGTGGTGTCAGTTGCAACTTCTCCTTTTCCATTTCTAATTTTATTGATTTGAGCCCTCTGCCTTTTTTTCTTGATGAGTCTGGCTAAAGGTTTATCAGTTTTGTTTATCATTTCAAAGAACCAGATTTTAGTTTCATTGATCTTTTCTATTGTTTTCTTCATCTCTGTTTCATTTATTTCTGCTCTGATCTTTGTGATTTCTTTCCTTCTGCTAACTTTGGGTTTTGTTTGTCTTTCTTTCTCTAGTTGCTTTAGGTGCAAGGTTAGGATGTTTGAGATGTTTCTTGTTTCCTTAGGTAAAGCTTGTATTGCTATGAACTCCCTCTCAGAACTGCTTCTGCTGCGTGCGATAGGTTTTGGATCGTTCTGTTTTCGTTTTCATTTGTCTCTAGGTATTTTTTGATTTCCTCTTTGATTTCTTCAGTGATCCGTTGGGTGTTTAGTAGCATCTTGTTTAGCCTCCACGTGTTTGTGCTTTCTACAGTTTTTTTCTTGTAGTTGATTTCTAATCTCATAGTGTTGTGGATGGAAAAGATGCTTGATATGATTTCAATTTTCTTAAATTTATTGAAGCTCTCTTTGTGGCCCAGCATGTGATAGGTGCTGGAGAATGTTCCATGTGCACTTGAAAAGAATGTATATTATGCTGCTTTTGGATGGAATGCTCCATAAATATCAATTAAGTGCATCGGGTCTAATGTGTCATTTAAGGCCTGTGTTTCCTTATTGATTTTCTGTCTGGATGATCTGTCCATTGATGAAAGTGGGGTGTTATTTTAAAGTCTGTTTTGTCTGATACGAGTATTGCCACTCCAGCTTTCTTCTGATTCCCATTTGTATGGAATACCTTTTTCCATCCCCTCACTTTGTCTGTATGTGTCCATAGATCTGAAGTGGGTCTTTTGTAGATAGCATATATTTGGGTCTTGTTTTCATAGCCATTCAGCCAGTCCGTGTCTTTTGGTTAGAGCATTTAATTCGTTTTCATTTCAGGTAATTATCAATATGTATGTTCTTATTGCCATTTTGTTAATTGTTTTGGATTTGCTTTTGTAGTTCTTTTTTCTCCCCTTCCTCTTTTGTTCTCTTCTGATTTGATGCCCAACTTTGTGTTTGGATTCCTTTTTCTTTTTTGTGTGTGTGTATCTGCTGTAGATTTTCAGTTTACATTTACCATGAGGTTTTGATATAGCAGTCTGTATATATGTACAAGATTATTTTAATTTGCTGGTCTTTTAATTTCAAATGCATTTCCAATATCCTGGATTTGTACTCTTCTCACAGTTGCTGGTTTTGATATCATATTTGTGTGTGGATGATTTCCTACCTTTACTGTACGTTTGTCTTTACCAGTGAGCTTTCTCATTCTTAATTTTCTAGTTGTGGCCTTTTTTTTTCCCCTGCCTAGAGAAGTTCCTTTAACATTGGTTGCAAAGCTGGTGTGGTGATGCTGAATTCTCTTAGCTTTTGCTTGTCTGTAAAGCTTTTGATTTCTCTGTCAACTCTGAATGAGAGCCTTGCTGGTAGAGTAATCTTGGTCGTAGGTTCTTCCCTTTCATCACTTTAATATATTGTGCCACTCCCTCCTGGCCTGCAGAGTTTCTGCTGAGAAATCAGCTGATAACCTCATGGGGATTCCGTTGTATGTTCTGTGTTGCTTTTCTCTTCCTGCTTTCAATATTTTCTCATTGTCTTTAATTTTTGTCAATTTGATTAATATGTGTCTTAGTGTGTTCCTCCTTGGGTTTATCCTGCCTGGGACTCTCTGCACTCCCTGGACTTGGGTGATTGTTTCCTTTCCCATTTTAGGGAAGTTTTCAGCTAGTATCTCTTTAGATATTTTGTCAGGCCCTTTCTCTCTTCTCCTTCTGGGACCCCTATAATGCGGTGCATTTAATGTGGTCCCGGAGGTCTCTCAGACTGTCCTCATTTCTTTCCATTCTTTATTCTGTTCTGTGGCAGTGATTTACACCATTTTGTCTTCCAGCTCACTTATCTGTTGTTCTGTCTCATTTATTCTGTTACCGATTCTTTCTAGTGTATTATTCATCTCGGTTTTCTTCATCTCTGTTTGTTCTTTAGATCTTCTAGCTCTTTATTAAACATTTCTTCTGTCTTCTCCATCTGTGCCTCCATTCTTTTCCCAAGATCTTGGGTCATCTTTACTATCATTACTCTGAATTGTTTTTTGGGTAGATCACCTATCTCCATTTCACTTAGTTCTTCTGGGGTTTTCTCTTGTTCCCTTGTATAGGGCATACTCCTCTGCTGTCTCATTTTGTCTGTTTTTTTTGTGGTTGTGGTTTCCATTCTGTAGGCTGAAGGGTTGTAGTTTGTCTTGCTTCTGCTGCTGCCCCCTGGTGGATGAGGCCAGTCTAAGAGGCTTGTGCAGGCTTCCTGTTTGGGAGGGGCGGGGGGTGGGGATGGGTGCCTGCCCAGTGGGTGGAGCTGGGTCTTGTCCCTCTGGTGGGCAGGGCCATGTCAAGGGGTGTGTTTAGCCAGCAGCTGTGGGCTCAGGAAGACTTCAGGCAGCCTGTCTGCTGATGGGGAGGGGTTGTATTCCCACCCAGTTGGTTGTTTGGCCTGAGGCATCCCAGCACTGGAGCCTGTAGGCTGTTGGGTGAGGCCAGGTCTTGGTGAGAAAATGGCAGCCTCCTGAAGGGCTCACACCAATGAGTACTCCCCAGAACTACCGCCACCAGTGTCTTTGTCCCTGTAGTGAGCCACAGCTGCCCCCCGCCTGCTTCCAGGGGAGACCCTCCAATACCAGCAGGTGGGTTAAGCCCAGACTCCTGTGAGGTCACTGCTTTTTTCCCCTGGGTCCTGGTGTGCACGAGACCTTGTGTGCACCCTCCAAGAGTGGAGTTTCTCTTTGCCCCAGTCTAACCCCGCTGGCCTTCAAAGCCAAATGCCCTGGGGGCTCCTCCTCCTGATGCCATATCCCCAGGCTGGGGAGCCTGATGCAGGCTCATAACTTTCACTCCTGTGGGAGAACCTCTGAGATACAATTATTTTCCAGTTTGTGGGTCAGCCACCCAGCAGGTATGGGATTTGATTTTATCACGATTGCACCCCTCCTATTGTCTCATTGTGGCTTCTTCTTTGTTTTTGGACGTAGGATATCTTTCTGGTAAGTTCCAGTGCTTTTTTTGTCAATGGTGGTTCAGCAGTTAGTTGTGAACTTGGTGTTTTCGTGAGAAGAGGTGAGCTCACATCCCTCTTCTCTGCCACCTTATCTCCATCCTCAAAACTGCTGTTGATCTTTGGTGCATTATCTTAATTGAACAAGCCTCAGTTTCCTTGTATGAGAGGCTTGTCTTGGGCAGCTGCAAGACGAGTAGATCTCCGCACCCACCTGGCGGAATCTTGAGGTTTATATAGAGGCTTTAATGGGGCTAAGTCGCATACCCAGTCCAGATGGTCTCAACAACACCTTACCCTCTCAAGGCGTCTTCCGTGAAATTGCTTTGTTTTTTTAACCATAACTAACTGTCTTGCACACATTCTGGAGGCTTATAACTAAGATTCTAGATGCTGGCCTTGCTGATGGTAGCCTGAGCTATTTAAACTCCACCTGGTTTTCTTTTAAATTCCTTAGCCATAGCTTATTCTTACCTCCCAAACAGTTAGGCCGATAGAATCTTCTAGAGTGGGTGCCAGCAGACTAGATATCACAGGCCCACTCCAGACGCCACCAGTTGGAATACAGTGCACACAGATATTTATGTACTACCTGGGGCTGCTTTTGCACTTCAGCAACAAAGTTGAGTAGTTGGGACAGAGACTGTGTGGCCCACAAACTCTAAAATATTTATTATCTGGCCCTTTACAGAAAAACTTGGCCAACCCTTGCTATAAAATAATACTAAGAGTTAGTGTCTGTTACCAGAAGGTAGCAGATCGAAGTAAAATACAACGTTATTTCCAGATCACACAAAGTCCAGCCAGGCTGTGGGTTTTTTTTTTTTTTTTTTTTTTTTGGCCACGCCCCGAGGCATGTGGGATCTTCGTTCCTCAACCAGGGATGGAACCCGTGTCCCCTGCAGTGGAAGCTCGGAGTCTTAACCACTGGACCGCCAGGGAAATCCCCAGTCTGTGTTCTTCATGTCTGCCAGGTCTCAAGTTACCATTGGCATTCATTCTTACTTCCCCACGGGTGGTAAATAAGTGATTTTATGTGCCACACATTTTACATGAGTTGCCTTCCTGTTTTGCCGGTGGCCAGAGGGGTCGATGACTTACCTAAGTTCATAATGAGCCAGATTCAAGCTCTTGTCAGGTGCAGACCTGCGTTCTTACCCACCACAGTCTGTGTATCTAAACTGAGAAAGAAGACAGGGCTTTGAAAATGTTGGAAGGGCTTTCAGCAAGGACTAGACTCTTCCCAGGCTGCTTTATAGTTGAGGGATCGCCCCCCCCCCCAAAGAAAAGTAAGCTCAAACCTTTCCTCCTAACCCCTTTCAGGATTAGCCTTAGTTCTGTTTCTCCTCTCCACTTCCACTATATTATTTTGTGCTTGCTGACTTACGATGGAAATGCTCTTAATTACTAAGTACTCTTGCTTTGTACTACAGACTTTCCCACTAGATGCCCTTCCGGTGACTTAATTTTTCCTTTTGTATCCCTTCCTGCCATTCTTTCCAGTTAATATTCTGAATGAAGTACTCAATGGCTAATTGTAGTTAACGTGACATTGTTTTTTTTCTTTTTCTGTGCCCAGATATAGGTTTGACCCTCGTCTCATGTTCAACAATCATGGCAGTGTCAGGACTCGAAGGTTTTCAAAACATCTGTAGCACCGCTGCGGTTGGATCCCTTGCACGCCTCTTTCTGATGAAGTGATTGTAGTAGGTGTGTCTGTAGCTAGTCTTCAAGACCATGCCTGGAAGGGTTTCTGGACTGGCTTTAAGTCCTGTTTGAAAAAGCAACCCAAACAAACAGCTGACTTCCTTGTGCAGTGTGTTAAACTGTGAACTCTGCCTGTGTGTCAGGAGTGGCTGTCCCTGGTCCCTTTATTCAACTGATGATGATACTCCTGAGGTCTTTGTTCTCACCAAACCCTTTCTGTCCTGGGGCCACAGTTCTTGATGATTCCCCATGTGGTCAAAGTCTAGATTTGTAAATCCATTCAGATAAATGGCAATGCTTTAGGGGGGCAAGGTTTTTGGTATACAGCTTGACCTAAAATCAGAGGACCTGCATAGCATTTGAGATTGAACACTTCACTATCAAAAATACTAATATCACATGGCTTGAAGAATAACCATCAGAGCTGAACCATCTGATTAAGAACAAATACCATTGTTTTTAGATCTGTAGAAATACACTGTTTATAATATCCATCACAATGGATCACAAATTCAAAACGCATCAGTGAAGCTCTGTTCATTTTTTGGCAGTTCTGGGCTGGTGCTACATTGAAATAGAACAGTAGCAAGCTTTTGGTAAAGGTTAATTCCAGGTGATTACTGAAGGTGATGGACATCTACTTTCCAGTGGCTGCTAATCACACGGAGTGCCAGTGAACACCAGGGGTATCTGGGGAACGTCTCTTCTCTTGATACTTCCCTTTCTCGGATCTGAAATATAAAGTGGGTTAAGTATTTCAGCAGAGAAGAAATTCCAGGGGTTGGTGAAGGTTGTGTTTTCTGAGGGCCTTTTGTAGGTAGGGCTCTCTGGTTGACACGCTGAAGGGCTATAAATCAGGGTGCAGTAAGTGCCTGTCCGGCAGGGAGCCTGGGTTCTAGTCCCATGTGTGAAGTTGTGAGACTCCCTCTGCATATTGCTGACATTCTGTTCATTTGTTATAAGATGTAAGAATTCCTTAGTGTTGATGCAGAGTACCAACTACTTACCTTCTTCCCTTTCAGCAAAACTTGCTGAGTTTTTGGAGTCTTGTGTAATTTGGGCCTAATTCACTATATTCCTCTGTCGAAACCCGATCTTCTTGAGATTTCCTCACTGTTTAGAACACCTGCATTTCTGTCTCTTGGCTTGAAGACCAATCCCATTTCTTGTGTTTTCTTCACAGGAAGGTTAATTGGTGATGTGGCAGCAGGGGAGGAGGAGGAACCGTGGTTTATAACCTGTTCAACTCAGGCAGTAGGGATTTTAGCTTTATGTAAGGTCCTAGGTTGAGCTTTAAGCACTTTGTAAGACATGGCCATAAGTAACTTTTCTATCACAATTCCAGGTAGCCATGTTGGGTTAACAGCCATTGGGTTTATTCCTTTACCTCATACAATGCCAGTAACTGGTGGTATTTAGAGGTGAAATGGGCAAGTGGAATGAATACCTCTGCTGTGACCATTTTAGGAAAAGAAATTCTAACAATTTTGTAACTAAACGCAAACTACAATGTTGAGTATGGGTATTGGCTTTATTCTACACTTTGGAGTCTTCACATTAATCAGTCAGCTTCCACATTAATGGAAGTTGACCATGGTTATTCCTGAATAAAGAGAAAACAACTCTTACCAGGTCTTGTACTGTGATGTCATATTATTCAGTTCTATGATGCTCATTCCTGAAAGCAGATGACATAGTAAGAGTAACACAAGTCAGCCGCTGATAGTATTCCTGTCCCACTGCTCTTACATTTATCAGACTTTTGTCTGGGGGGCGGGCAGGGCAGGGAATGCAGTGAAGCCCTTTTTTTGTACCCCTGATTTTTGAATGGCCTCTAATTTGACTTTTTCTCCTCTTGGACTGGTTGCATTCTGGATTTACACTAAAATCATCTTTCATAAAGAGACCTCAGTTTCTAGACTAGCAGACCACAAAATGCACTGGAATTTTTCAGAATGATATGTACAAGGGCCCCACTGCAAGAGGCTTGCCTTGTTTCTCTCTTAATTGTACTGATTTGAATTTTGATTGTTTTCCCTTTTAAGAAGACCAGGTCCGTATGTATTGGTAATAGAAAACTGTAACCATTAGGAACGAACAGAGGTCTTGGGGAAGAATAGAGATTTTGCCTTATAAGATTTCCTATTACAAAGCTCTCCCTCAAGTAAAATAACATTCCCTACAACTACAAAGTAGGGCATGCCTTTTGAGTATCTTTGAATTTGACCAATGGTGCTGTTGCAAAATACATTTTAATTGACAGCAGTAGGGTTTTTGTACAAAATAGTAATGATAGCCATGGAAGGTTATATTTTTGTGTCTAAGGACTAGTGTTTTAATGAAAGAAGATAAATTGTCCCAGGATCCTTATTAAGAGAAAGCAAAGGGTATTTAAACTGATCCACCAGTGGAACTAGGTGGGGATATTTGGGTCTTTTGTTTCACCACCGCTTAGGTCCAACTGAATTTGTGAATTCATGTGTTTGCATCATCTGTTCTTACAAGTTATTCTGCCCTGGCTCTGTGTCACCTCAGTCATTTGACTAAGGAAGTGCCCTTTGAAGGACCCTGTTCACTGCTGCACTTTTCAATGAATTAAAATTTATTTCTGTTCTAGTGGGAATGTGTCCTTTGTTGTAGTCCACAAGTAGTAATTTTGACAAAATGTTCTTTGCTGTATACTGTTTAATGTTTTAATCACTCACCTAGTCCTGGCGATGGGCTGTTTCGCATTGGGTACCACAGTCCCTGCCTGGAAACCTCGTTCGTGTATATGTGTGGTCCCTGCTGCCCAGTATCCCTGAATGAGCACCATGTAGAAAATCCGTCCTGATAAATCTTTATGCATTTACAGTTTGGAGAGAAAAAAAAACAACTTACCTTGACCAGCTTTAAATTAGATAAACTAAAGCTCACCGTCGAAGGTGCCTTGGCTTGATGTTCAGTCATGTGATCCATCGCCGTAAATGAGAAGTCAGTCCTACTGGAGTTGACAGACTTTTTCTTAAAGGGATAGTTAATATTTTAGGTTTGCAGGCTATGTCTCTATCACAGCTACTTTGCTGCTTCAGTACAAAAGTAGCCATAGACAACACAAATGAATATGCATGGCTATGTTCCAACAAAACTTTACCAAAAAAAAAAAAAATCATAATTTGCCAACCTCAGACCTAGTAGGTTGCCTCTTGTAAGTTCTGAAGACCAAGCAGAAAAACAAGATGTTAGAAGATAACCATACCATAAAGTTTCCATACTACTATACTATCAGAAAAACAATTGAGTTTATCACAGTATCAAGCCACCAAGGAAGAGGAGAACGTTTCTTTACTTAGACTCAAAGTGAGGGTAAGTACAGACTCTACTAAATCCATTTTTCTAATTCGCAGCCCCCCCCCCACCATTCCCACTGAGACTGTACCCTGCCCTGTAGAACCAAACACTGTACAGGTTTAGTATTTGTTTCACCTTCTTTCTCTGCCTGTCATGGGTTTAAAGGGCTAGTCACGTGTGTACCTTGAAGTCTGTAGTGGCAAGAGCAGAGAACCTAGAGGCCCCAAGCTGAACGCACTGTGCAGGGACCTTTACTGATGACCTAGGAATTACTATATAAGATTTGCATGTGGGACGTGGGAGCCAGCTTCAGGAGTACCACAGAGTAGATGACAGTTCTAAATCTTAGTCTTTGAGAGGAAGCTTTCATTACCACCTTCTGCTGGTGAGACCTGAGATCTTATATATCCTCACAACCTGCCCCTCAGACTGATGCTGATGGGTCCTCACAGGGTGGAGAAATACACAGAATGGTTGTAATTAGTATTTATTGTGATAAAAATGGCTCTGCCAACAAGCTGCTTTCCTCAGCTTAGTTTATCCAAGCTCACAAAGCTCATTAGTCAAAGAAAGACTCAAGGTTTCAAAGATGTGGCTTTGAAGACATCTATTAAACTCTGCTCTCTCTCTGATCTAAGAAGGATTTTACCCTCCCTCATATGTCTGAGTGCCTACTCTGCCTGGACGTGGGCTGGGTTATGAAAGCAAATTACTCTCTTCCTGACCCCCAGGACATTATTGTGTAGATTGAAAACTCATCCCTGATATCTGTAGTTACAGGGAAAACAGTTTCAGACTAAGAAGGGGAGTTAACACTACCATTCAAGTGGCTTCTTGTGCTCCACAGCATGACTTTTGAGAACAAAGTGAAAACAGCTCCTCTGACAAACCCTTAACTAGACTCACCAAGAATAAAAGGGGCTCAAGTAAAATCAGAAGTGAAAGGGGAGACATTACAACTGTACCACACATATACAAAGGATCATAAGAGAGTACTATGAACAACTAATTATATGCCGACAAATCGGATAACCCAGAAGAAACGGATAAATTCCTAGAAACATACAGCCTTCTAGGACTGAATCATGAAGAAATAGAAAATGTGAATAGTCTGATCACTAGTAAGGAGATTGAATGTATTCAACAAGCCTCCCAGGGCTTCCCTGGTGGCGCAGTGGTTGAGAATGCCTGCCAATGCAGGGGACACAGGTATGAGACCTGGTCCAGGAAGGTCCCACATACCGCAGAGCAACTAAGCCCGTGACACACAACTACTGAGCCTGCGCATCTGGAGCCTGTGCTCCGCAACAAGAGAGGCTGCGATCGTGAGAGGCCTGCGCACCGCAATGAAGAGTGGCCCCCGCTCACCGCAACTAGAGAAAGCCCTCACACAGAAACAAAGACCAAACACAGCCAAAAATAAATAAAATTTAAAGAAAAAAAAAAAAAAGCCTCCCAGTAAACAAAAGTCCAGGACCAGGTAGCTTCACTGGTGAATTCTACCAAGCATTCAAAGTGGAACTAATACCAATCCTTCTCAAACTCTTCCAAAAACAGGAGAGGAAGGAACACTTCCAAAATCATTCTATGAGGCTAGCATTACTCTCATACCAAAACCAGACAAGGACATCATAAGAAAAGAAAATTACAGGCCAATATCCCTGATAAACACAGAGGCAAAAATCCTCTAACAAGATACTAGCAAACTGAATTCAACGATAACATTAAAAGGCTCATACACCATGATCAAGTGGAATTTAGTACAAGGATGCAAGAGTGGTTCAACATCCACAAATCAATGTGCTATATATACCACATTAACCAAATGAAGGATAAAAAACATGATCATCACAATAGATGCAGAAAAAGCATTTGACAAAACTCAACGTTCATGATAAAAACTCATACAGAGTGCATACAGAGTAAACATACCTCAACATAAAAGTCAT